CGAAGAGCTTAAGCTCTTCTATTTAAGAAGACCTTAAGCTCTTCTATATAAGAAGACCTTAAGCTCTTCTATATAAGAAGACCTTCAACTCTTCCATATAAGAAGACCTTCAACTCTTCCATATAAGAAGACCTTCAGCTCTTCTATATAAGAAGTCCTTCAGCTCTTTTATATAAGAAGTCCTTCAGCTCTTCTATACAAGAAGACCTTCAGCTCTTCTATATAAGAAGACCTTAAGCTCTTCTATATAAGAAGACCTTAAGCTCTTCTATATAAGAAGACCTTAAGCTCTTCTATATAAGAAAACCTTAAGCTCTTCTAGATAAGAAGACTTTCCGGTCTTCTATAAGCTCTTCAGCTCTTTCCGGTCTTCTATAAGAAGATCGTCTGCGCTTCTATTGGAAGAGCTTCAGCTCTTCTATAAGAAGGCCTCCTTCTCTTCTATAAGAAGACTTTGTTTACTTCTCTACGAATATATATATTCTGGCTTCTTATAAGAAGACCTTTTGGACATCTGAAAGACCGAAGTAAACCACTCGTCTATATAATATATTTTGGTATCCTATACTAAAACATTCTGATTTTCTATAAGAACAGTCGTCTAAAAGAATTCTTCCTGGTTAACTTTTTTCTGCAAATAAATAATAATTAAACCCTTCACCACACTGTGGTGCAGGGTATTATGTCTTTGTGCATATGTTTGTAACAGGCAAAAGGGATCGAGATAGACCCATGGTTCCTTTTGAGAATATGCATAGAATCACATTCTGAGTCGATTTATGAATGTCCGTCTGTCCATCCGTCCATGTATTTTTGTGAGCAAAGTACAGGACGCATTTATGATCCGAATTGGATGAAATTTGGCACAGCCCATTGGTTTGGCCCAAGGACGAACCCTATTGAAATTGGAGAAAATCGGTTCAGATTTAGATATAGCTCCCATATATAGTTTCGCCCGATTTTAGGTAGACGGTGCATCAAAGTTCCTGAATATCATTCGATATTCAGGAACTTTTATTAGATTTGCAAGATTTTTCACATAGCGTATTGAATTAAGTCTAGAATGACGTGGTGCAAATTTAGATATAGCTTTTAAATATAGTTTCGTCCGATTTTAGGTAAATAGTGCACCAAAGTCCCTGAAAATCATTTGATTTACACAAAATTTGCCATAGCATACTGAATTAAGGCTAGAATGACTTGTGCTAAGTTTCGGTTCAGATTTAGATATAGCTCACATATATATTTTAGTCCGATTTTATGTTTATGGTGCAACAAAGTCCCTATATATATTTTGATTTGCATGCATTTTGGTATAGGGTACTGAATTAAGTCTTGCTAAGCTTCGTGAAAAGATCCATAGCTAGGCGAATTGACACAACGTACTGAAGTAATATAAATTAGTCTCTGGCGATTTTCCCTGAAATTGGTTCAGCTAGGAAAGTTCAGCTGAAATCGCGTCGTCTGTTAGGATACATATGTACAATATTCCCGAAGTGGTGAAGGGTATCAAATAGTCGGCCCAGTCCGACTTTACTACTTTCCTTACTGGTTTTGATCTGACAATATCCGAACCATATCATATTATTAAAAATAAATATTGCGGTTACGATCGATGATTTATTGTCACATCGGAATTAAGAGTAATTACGATAAAAACATCTACGATCACTTCCTCTTGTATCAAGACCTAGTAAGTAATATACGTGGTTGGGGTTTTACCGGTTTCTTCGTAATTTGTCATATCTTGAAACAATTGATACCGGAAGTGGGCGGTTAATTTAAACGACATCCAATGTACCACAATGTTTTTACTTTCAGAACTGTGAAGTGACGTTGGATTTTACTAGAAAAAGTACGTCAACGACCACATCCGGCCACTGAGTGGATAGGAAGATATCAGAAACTTCCTAATATTCAATACGACATATTTCTAAAGAGGAATCGTATAGAAAACCACTAATTTTTCCAGTTCTCTCCTTTCCTCCTTATACAAATCAGAAGTTTTTATAAGACAACATCAGAATAATACGGCCATTTGTAGGGTGATCTCTTCCTCGAAATCACAAATGCATGCATAGTTCGCCAGTCCATTGGTCCTCCCTAATTATGTTAATGTTCTGCAGTTTTTACCTTTTATGATTAAATTCATTTAGCCTTCTTTTAATGAAGACTTATTTGTAATGACTTTTTTCAAATTAATGCAGTCATTTTTTTGTTTGCATTTTCCATCATCATCGCCATCGACAGCAGCAGTAGTAGTAGCAGGATCGAAACACATGGACACGTCGTTGGTGAATTTGTCCCAACAATAATGCAGCTATTTGGCAGATGGAGTATGCCATCATTATTAACTCAACTATGCCATGAAAAATGCATAAATTGTTATTGGCTGTGGTGGCTAGACGCCACCAATGCACTATGGGTAAAAAGTATGATTTTTTGGCATAAAGTCAATTTTTTTTTGTTTTCATATTTTGAAATGTAACTGATTTCCTAAATGTAGACACCCATATTAGAAAAAAAACATTCAATATGAATGCGGGTGGCAACCCTTTTTTGCTGGCGAGCTTTGAAAGTCAGCAGTTTGAAAGTCACATTGTTTTGGTACAACTGGCGGTAAAAATCAGCTAAGTTCGAGTGCTTGTAATTTGACAAAATTGAAAAAATTAAAATGTGTAATTATGGAAAACGTTAGTGCAGGTATGTAAAATTAAGACGAGATGCCCTTTTTGTCATATTTGTCTGTTGTTGTAATACTGTGAAATGTTTTGTTTATGTATAACTTTATACAAAATCTATAAATTGTAGTTTTGTTCCGTGGAGTGTATCTTGTGAATGGCAAAGCATTGCAAAAAGGTGTAAATGCCAAGTTATTAACAAAAGTGTGCTAATTAATGAGTAACTAGCCTTTTTTGTGCTTTTTTGTGCCAACTCGTGTTTTTTACTGATAAACATGTGTTTGCCCATGCAGCGCTTATTGAAATATGGAGTAGCAAAAATCGCTCAGAAGATTCACTTGTGAAATATGTGTTACAGAATATCAACAATATCAGTTTAAATGAAGACCAAATGCGTTTGATATCGAAAGAAGTTAAAGATTTTGTTAATTATATAAAAAAGCATTTGCCAAAGTTCAACCGTAAGAGTATAATTATAGTAATGGATGAGCAGTATGTTTCCCAAACAGAATAGGTCGCCCAAAATTAAATTATGAACATGCTGGACCTAGGCTAAAAAGGAAATTAGCCTCCTAAGTTGCTTCACAAAATGGTAAGTCATCTTGGGAGCATAAAAAATTATACAAACTAAATTTCACTTCAATAGCTTCATAAACAAAAAAGTTGGGGCAAATCGGCCAGATCGGCTATATGGCAGCTATATGAAATAGTGCCCCAAATCATATGAAAAATGGTAGGTCATCTTGGGAGCATAAAAAATGTATACAAACCAAATTTCACTTCAATAGCTTTATAAACAAAAAAGTCGGGACAAATCGGTCAGATCGGCTATATGGCAGCTATATGAAATAGTGCCCCAAATCATATGAAAATTGGTAGGTCATCTTGGGAGCATAAAAAATGTATACAACCCAAATTTCAATTCAATAGCTTTAAAATTAGAGTTTATGCCAAAATAAACGTAAAAAAACCCATAGTGCAATGACGAATTCCTAAATAAATGTATTTCTAAATTATGAGATTTTGACATTATGAGGCAACTGAGGATTCCAATTTCGTAAATCTGCCTCTTGAAAGTCCTTGAAAACATGATTCTGTTTGGGGCTTGAAAAATTATTCTTTAAAAATCCACGCCTTGTTTGGGGCTTGAAAAATTATTCTTTAAAAATCCACGCCTTGTTTGGGGCTTGAAAAATTATTCTTTAAAAATCCACGCCTTGTTTGGGGCTTGAAAAATTATTCTTTAAAAATCCACGCCTTGTTTGGGGCTTGAAAAATTATTCTTTAAAAATCCACGCCTTGTTTGGGGCTTGAAAAATTATTCTTTAAAAATCCACGCCTTGTTTGGGGCTTGAAAAATTATTCTTTAAAAATCCACGCCTTGTTTGGGGCTTGAAAAATTATTCTTTAAAAATCCACGCCTTGTTTGGGGCTTGAAAAATTATTCTTTAAAAATCCACGCCTTGTTTGGGGCTTGAAAAATTATTCCTTAAAAATCCACGCCTTGTTTGGGGCTTGAAAAATTATTCTTTAAAAATCCACGCCTTGTTTGGGGCTTGAAAAATTATTCTTTAAAAATCCACGCCTTGTTTGGGGCTTGAAAAATTATTCTTTAAAAATCCACGCCTTGTTTGGGGCTTGAAAAATTATTCTTTAAAAATCCACGCCTTGTTTGGGGCTTGAAAAATTATTCTTTAAAAATCCACGCCTTGTTTGGGGCTTGAAAAATTATTCTTTAAAAATCCACGCCTTGTTTGGGCCTTGAATAAATTATTCTTTAAAAATTTACGCCTTGTTAAGTCATGGAAAAAAATATTCTTTAAAAATCCACGCCTTGTTGGGCCTTGGAAAAAATTATTCTTTCAAAAGCCTTGGAAAAAGTTATTCTTTAAAAATCCACGGCTTGTTTGGGCTTTGAAAGTAATATGCTATAAAACATCCACGCCTTATTGGGTCTTGAAAAGTTTATTCCTTAAAAATCCACGCCTTGTTAGGGCCTTGAAAAAATTATTCTTTAAAAAATCGATGCGTTAAAATTGATGTTAAAAAATTATTCTTTGGTCCTTTAAAAAATCCACGCCTTGTTTAAAAAAAATATTTTTTAAACCCGCTTCGCCTTGAAATTTTCTTAAAAAAACTTTGTGAACAGACCTAGTATATTGTCACTTATAAATAATTCGTAATACACTCATCTATATACATCTATATTTACACCCTATGACTTAGTAACCTCATGCGTATTAATCATTTCATTTGTAAGCAAATAAATTAATCAGTATAAGACAAACATTCGATCAGTTTCATCCCGCATCGACTGCGATGAATTATAAGAAAACTTTAAAATTTCTCCTCATCGGCAATGGAGGTGTGGGCAAATCTGCTCTCCTCAGTACCTATCTGCACAGGTTGAATTTATTCCAGTATGAACATCGCATCGATCGTCAAATCTATCAAGTCGATATTGTGGAAATTATCACCTTCGATGATCTGCATCGTTACAACCTCTACGAAAATGAATGGGATGCTGTGGTGAATATTCTCTGTTTCAATGTTACGAACCGAAGCACACTTCATAGCCTTCGCCATGAATGGATACCCGAGCTAATGAAATTGAAAAGGAATCCAAAAATGTTCCTAATGGGCCTCCAATGTGATCGTCGTGAACAATTTCTCACCAAGTTTACCCAAGGCAGTGTAAGTCGTGAAGAAGGTATGCAGCTGACAATGTATTATGAAAATCTGCACTATGTTGAATGTTCCGCACTGAAATTGGCAAGTGTCAAGCAGGCGTTCGATGAAATTTTGGAACAATTTTTCTATGCCGATATACAAAAGCAAATGGAGGAAAGAATTTTGAAATTATATTCAACAATGCAAATCAAATTTAAATTTTATGGACCAATACATTGGATAACTGATGTGTTTGGGGATGTGGTAGATTATACACATCCCGCCGAGGAATGTTTTCTTTAGAATGAAGTTGTAAACAAAAATGTTATCCTGGTAAATATATTGATTATCTAGAATCGTTTAATGTATTATTTTATAGACTTTTTTCTCAATTCAGAGTGATAAGTGTGGAACATATTGAGGCCAGTTGCAATAATAACAAGTAACAAGTAAAAAAGCGTTAAGTTCGGCCGGGCCGAACTTTGGATACCCTCCACAATAGAAATACTGACAAATTTTTGAAATGAAAACATAGGGAACATACATATAAATACAATTCTTCCAATCGATTTTTGTAAACCAAATAGAAAATTCAGCAATTTCAATGGGGGTTTTCCTAAAATCTCTAAACCCTAAAATGTTGACATATATTATTAACGCATGGTACGGTGAAACATGTGTATAAAAAGCTGAAAATACTCCAATTTAGAGGGGAATATTATATATGAGACTAAAGAGGGATCAATATTGACAACATTGTGTAGGAATCCCAATACCGTTCATCACGTTAAATATTAAATAGGTAAGATGTTTTATATAGGACATGGTCCTATGTCGATATGATCGGAGAGAAAAATTATTAGAATTTCATACCATGCAGGGGATGAACTGAAAATTTCGTCTACATAATATCCCCCGTTCGATGGTGGAACACAGCTATATGGTGATAACCCCAACACGGAACAAATTAGCTAACTATTTTAATATAAAAATACGACTACAAAATACCAAATTACAGCGAATTCGGTTGAAACCCGTGCTCAAGAACCCCAAAATACCGAAAATTGGAGGGTACCCTTATATGGGGCTACCCGAAAAAATTGACCTATATTTATAATTTTTAGTGGAGAGATTTGCTACGCAATAAGAACTCAAAGTATCAAATTTCAGCGAATTCGGTTGCAAAACGGCCTCAAGAACCTCAAAATACCGAAAATTGGGGGTACCCTTATATGAGGGCTACCCGAAAAAATGGACCTATATTTATAATTTTTTGTGGAGAGATTTGATACCCAATAAAAACTCAAAGTACTAAATTACAGCCAATTCGGTGAAAAAATCCGTTCAAAACCCCCCAAAAACTGAAAATTAGGAGGTACCGTTCTATGGGGGCTACCAGAAAAAGTGGACCTATATTTATAATTTTTGGTGGAGAAATTTAGTATCCAAAAAAACCCATTTTAGCAAATCCCCGAAATACTGAAAATTTGGGGGTACCCTTATATGGGAGCTATGCCTAAACGTGGACCGAAATAGCCTATCATCGAACTTGACCTGCCTGCAGATAAAAGACGACTCTATGCAAAATTTTGGCGTTCTCAATTCGTTTAGACGCTAGAGTGATTACAACAGACAGACGGACATGCTTAGATCGTCATAGAATTTTACGCTGATCAAGAATATATATACTTTATAGGGTCGGAAATGATTATTTCGATGCGTTACAAACGGAAAAACAAAACTAATATACCCTCCATACTATGGTGGAGGGTATAAAAAGTCTTTGAGGATGACATTCCGCAGTAACAAAAAATAGTTTACTGTTGTTTGTTTAGTACATTCACTTGTGAGTTATAGGGTGTTAAAAATGGAAGTGAACAAAGAGAAAATTCGGTACATTTTACAGTTTTTCATTGAAAGCGAAAATGCAAACCAAGCGGCTAAAATTGTGAATGGTGTTTATGGTTCCGATACAGCAACAGCCAATTATGTGCAATTTTGGTTTCGTAGATTCCGTTCAGGAATTTTTGATGTTAAAGATGCACCTCGCATAGGTGGGCCGGTCGTCGAAAATGTCGATAAAATCAGAGATGTGATCGAAGTTGACCGGCATGTTAGCATCGTCCAGGATATAAAAATCGACCGCAAAACTGTTTTAAACCATTTACAATTGACCAGAAACGGCCAGAATTGGCCAACCGGAGAGTTGTCGTGTTCCACCAATATAACGCTAGGCCAAACACATCACCAGAAAATTTGGGAGCCATACAGTCCGGACGTGGCACCAAGCACAACCCTCCCTAGATACAATTTCTTTAGATATCTAGTGAGGATTGTGAAAACCGACTACTAGAGTTTTTTGCAAATAGAGAGCAGCACTTCTGTGAGAGAGGCATTATGAAGTTACCTTTAAAATGGCAACAAATTATAAAACAAAACGGTGAATATGTGGTCCAAGTGGTGAATGGTATCATATAGTCAATCTGTCCATATTTTCTATACTTGTTTAAGATATACATAGTTAAAATTTTGTTCAGTTAAAATTTTGTTCGATATTACTCGTAGCTCATTATACCCTTCACCACACTGTGGTACAGGGTATTATGTCTTTGTGCATATGTTTGTAACAGGCAAAAGGAAACGAGATAGACACATGGTTCCTTTTGAGAATATGCATAGAATCACTTTCTAAGTCGATCCGTCCGTCTGTCTGTCTGACTGTCCATGTTAAATTGTAAATTATTCGGCCCAAGCACGAACACTATTGAAATTGGGAAAAAATCGGTTCAGATTTAGATATAGCTCCCATATATAATTAACCGATTTAATGTAAACGGTCCCTATATATCTTTCGATTTGCACGAAATTGGGTACAGCCTAATCATTTAGGTCTAGAATGATGTCTGCCAAGTTTCGTGAAAATCGGTCCAGATTTAGATATACCTCCCATATAGAGGTTCGTCCGATTTGATGTAAATGGTGCCCCAAAGTCCCTATATATCTTTCGATTTGTACGAAATTTTGAAAATCGGTTCAGATTTGGATATAACTCCCATATATATTTTCGTCCGATTTAAGGTAAATGGTGTACCAAAGTCCCTATATATCTTTCGATTTTTACGAAATTTGGTACAACGTAATGAATTAGATCTAGAATGATGTGGGCAAAGTTTCGTGAAAATTGATTCAGATTTGGATATAGCTCCCATATATATTTTCGTCCGATTTAAGGTAAATGGTGTACCAAAGTCTCTATATATACTTAGATTTGCACGAAATTACTGAATTAAGTCTAGAACGATGTGTGTTAAATTTTGAGAAAATCGGTTCAGATTTATATATATATATATATATATATATTCGTCCGATTTTAGGTAAATAGTGCACCAAGGTCCCTTTTATATGCTTCGATTTGCACAAAATAAGGATGAGCTTACTAAATTGAGTCTAGAATTATGAGTGGTGAGTTTCGGGAAAATCGGTCGAGATTTCGATATAGCTCCCATATATATGTTCGTCCGATTTTATGTAAATGATGCACCAACGTCACTATTTATCCTTCGATTTGCACGAAATTTGGCATAGCGTACTGAATTAAGTCTAGAACGATGTGTGTTAAATTTCGTAAAAATCGGTTCAGATTTAGATATAGCTCCCACATATAGATTATATTTTTAACAACGCGGCGTACCGAATACCGTGTATCAATTTTGCTATAAATCGTTTTCCATATATTTTCCCCATGTTACGCAGGCGGCTCTAAATCTGCTCGAATGAATTTAAAGTTAGGATAGGTTGGAGAAAGAGGGAACATAGACATGCATTTGTTAGGATATACTCAAAGTGGTGAAGGGTATCATATAGTCGGCCCAGTCCGACTTTACTACTTTCCTTACTGGTTTCTATACTCTTTCAAGATATACATAGTTAAAATTTTGTTCGATATTACTCATAGCACATTTTATATTTACCGTATTTCATTGATATAAATATTTACGATATATAAACATTTGTTTATATTATATTGTTGTTTGTAATCACCCTGTGTATTATTTCAATTCAAGACATCAACCAATTTGTTTTTCACCACTGCACAGGGTCACTCATACAACAACGATCAACGATGGTAAGAAAACACATTTCACGTATATGGAAAAATAAATAACCGTAGAAAGCCTTCCGAATTCAGATAAGGACTGTGGTCGGTATATTAAATTTGTCGTTCCGTTTGCAACACCTTGAAATATTCATTAAAATTCCATTAAAAAAATTTTGAAAAATTTTTTTGCGAGCACATTTATGATTTTTGGTACATATGTTAAGAAAAATATGCTGATTCGAAATCTGTTCGCGTTCACAAATTCGGATGCTGCGCACAAAAGATATAGCGGTTTTAAATCTTGTATTTCAAATATAAATTAAATGGATTCCTATTCGTTGTAATTCGCGAACTTCTTCACAAATGGTTAAACACTATTGTTTTCTTTGCATACTAGTCAAATCACACTGCAATACGGTTTAATAGTCGCGAAAAACAAATAGAAACATGAAGTTATCGGAAAATAAAATAAATTAATTTTTGAATTAAAACAATTTTTTTTTTTTTGAATTTCCGATGTTTTTAGTATGGTTAAGAGGATACGGTTTTGCCTTAATCTTCTAAAATATACGACGCTTTCTTCTGCAAATTCTTTTAGATGATTGTTAAATATCGGTTGATTCATCTGATAAGAGTTTCGACGTCATTAATGGCTAAATACATTGCACTTACAATACATAAAAATGATCAATATTGAAAAGCTTGCAATTCGCGAATTAGTTGAAATCAGTTGATGCGCATGCGATTTTCGTATAAACCGAATCAATGTCTTTCAATAATTATGAATTTTTCGATGTTTAATATAGCGGTCAAAGTGTGCCACTCGATGCACTTTACTATGCAAAAACCCTAAAAATGGCTAAAAATCACGCAACGTGCATACGATTTCTATGCGCATCCGATTTCAGTAATCTCCTATGAAAATACACAAAAGGACACCTACTTTAAAAGGATCGGTTAAGAACCGCGGATGTGCCTCCACAATCAATTTTGGTTAAAATACGCATATTATTCGCGTATCGATATATTTTTGACCTATTTCCACACAGATTCGCGAATTTGACAATACAAGCATAAATGCATGTAAAATTAATTCGAAGAAAACCGCGATTATTTACGCGAATTTGTCAAAATAAGTTTTTGCCGTTTTTCCCACATTCAAGGTACCTGTATCCGCCATTTTATTGGACGGAATTTAACATGGATGGGCTCATTAGATCTGGCACGTAAAAAAACTAAAATCACGCGGGGTTCCACGGAATTTGAATGGACTTCCTTAATTTTAGACTCAAAAAATATGTTTTTTATAAAAATTTACGCACCAAATTTTCGTCTTTGGAACCCAATTGCAAAGAAGCTACGGTGAGCACATTCATGAGATATACACTAAACGAAGCAGAATCACGAGTTCTACAATCCCATAATTAGTTTATTCGATTATCTGGATGCGCATCCTAATTATAAGAAAAATTCAAAAAACACGGAAAATACGGCTTCAAAATGTCAGCATCAATTTTGGGTGGATGCAGTGATTATATCGAAAAATCATACATTAGAACCATATTGTCCATGGGGTATTCTGCAACTTAGTCACTGATCACATGTGCGTGCGTTGTGTAGTTTAGCCACAAATCGGGAACGAACACAAAAAAACTCGTTGGCTTCAACACATTTTCACCCATTTTTTTACATTACCACCATCACAGCTTCCACGAAACTTATTATTTATTACCAATATTTTAAGATTTTGACAAGAACACTTCATTTTATAGAACAGAATTTAAATTATATGCAATATGTTCATATTTCGCGAGTTATAACCTTGCAAACCTCAGCTTCAAGGAATTTAAAAGATTTTTGTAATTTCCCATATATATATATATATAATTGATCAGAAAAAAATTCTATGTCGAGTGTCCGTCTGTTGAAATCAAACACATCTCCGAACTAAAAATTATTAATTTTGACCCAAGTTTCAGGGTAGCTCCCATTTACGGGACACCCAATCTTCGGCCGGTCCGAACTTAACATCGTTTTAACTTGTTTAGTTTTAAATTGGTCTTTTAAAATTAAAACCCCGAACATAATGCTTGGAAAAAGTCTACTGTTGAAGCTGTTGGATTTTTTGTAAATTATTAACCGCTAGAAGTATTCAATGCACAGTGTACTCCTTGAAATATTCACCGGCGAACCCATAAAGATTTCTATATATTCTTGATCAGAATAAAATTCTATCCGAAATCAAAATAGTTCTTGGGTAGATCTTTGAAATATCGCATATACATTGTTACTATACTTAGGATGTCTGGCGTTAATAGAGATGGACAGTGGGTAAATACCCAAAGGGTAAATACCCGGTAAATTGGGAAAATACCCGGTAAATTGGGTAAATACCCCGTAAATTGGGAAAATACCCGGTAAATTGGGTAAATACCCCGTAAATTGGGTAAATACCCATTTGTGGGTATTTATTTGTGTATTTACTATATTGAATCGGTAATACAACATCTTACACCATATTTCCGGGTTTCTGTTATACATACATTTTTGGATGGACATTTGGTACCCAAAAGAACAAAACTTGGACCCAGGGACCCCATTTTGGATTTCTATATTTGCTTTGACATTAAAAATATATGTATGCAAAATGTTGATCTGAAATGTCAAGCGGTTCTGCAGTCAATGAGTTTATACCCAATTTTGGGTAAAAACTCGGGTAATTACCCAAGTATTTACCCACGTCGTTAAAGTATCGTAAAACTATCCATTCTAAATCGATTTGATAACAGAAACCCGGAAATAGGGTGTAAGATGTTGTATTACCGATTCAATATAGTAAATACCAAATAAATACCCGCAAATGGATATTTACGCGGTATTTAGCCACCCCTTGGGTATTTACCCGGTAAATACCATCTCTAGGCATTAAATGGTCAGCGTTTTGGTATAGACCGCCGTATTTGATATTTTTAGAAGTTTTGGTACTTCCCAAATGTCGGTATTTTGGACCCAGTTTCGATGTGGTCCTCATATAACGGTATCCAACATTTTTGGAATTGCGAGGATTTTGGACAGGTTTTTTAGACAAATCGTACTTCGAAATATCATTCTTAACACAAATGATTAATATTAATCCACGTTTTGGTATAGCCCCTATAAAACTGTACCCCGATTTTGGGAATTTTAAGGATTTTAGACAGGTTTTTCATGCCAATTAGATGTAAATGTATATTGGTTTATGTATTTTGGTTTATCATTGGATGACAAAATTTCCTAGCAAAAAGTGTAAAAAAGTAATTGATCCTTGGGTACAACCCCCAAATAATGGTCCAGAACTTTGATATTTATTTTGATGGTTCAAGACGCATGGAGTGAGAGGTGAAGTCATTGACTCACTAATATGGACGACGCTGGGTTATGAACTGGGATTCCTACCTCCAGAGGTAAACAGAAGCCTTATAGGAATCCTCGGAAAAGAAACTGGGACAAATTCAAAGCCAAAACAGCAGCCTTATCTTAAAACGGTTGAGGGTATTGAGGAAGCTGTGAACATTGACACGGTCACTCTTCTGAAGAGAAATAAGGCTTCATGTCCTTTAACACACCCTGCGAAAAAAATCTCAGCCGGCATGGTGGTAACAAAACCTTGCATCCTTGAGGAAGGCTGTAAGGAAAGCATACAATAGAGCTAGTAAGACAAAACCCTGTACAGATTTGGACGTTTATAGAGAACATTTCAATAGATACATGAGTAAAATCAAGAAGGCTAAACGTGAATCTTGGGTCTGCTATAGTGACTCAATCGAAGGATTCAACAAAGCGGACAAATTTCGCACAGTACTATTTAAAGATCCAAAATCTATAGGTAGCATTGTGCGAAGTGATGGAACATGGACAAACTCTGGTAGTGAGACTCTTGATCTTCTATCGTCAACCTACTTTCCTGGTTGTAAGGACTATAGTGAGGGTGCGCAGTGTGCGCATCAGCATATGGTTCGAACGAGGCTGGAGGGAGGGAGAAACTGATAGAAAGCTCTATAAGCTACCCAAAACTGGTATGGGCGATAAGTAGTTTTCAACCCTATAAATCTCCTGGTCCAGATGATATAATACCGGCCATGTTGCAACACATAGATGAACGAGTATTAGCCTCTCTGAAAGACATTTTTAGGGCTTGTCTACTTCTATCGTATCGTATCTATGGAAAGAGGTAACAGTAACCCCCACAGGGGGAGTACTATCTCCCCTTCTGTGGGTTCAAGTGATAAAATGAAGTTCGATCATCTTAAGATAAAGGTTGTAGCCTATGCCGATGATTTAGTTTTGCAGGTTGGTGCGAAATGTCTAATAACAATTTCAGATATTTTGGGGTCCCCTTTCAATTCTGTCTAACTGGGCAATGGTCTTGGTATTAACCCCTCCAAGACAGAATTAGTCTCTTCACTAGGAAACGTAAGATTCCTAGTTTCCACCTGCGATCACTGGGACGAGTAACCGTAACCCTTTCTGAAGAAGCAATATACCTTGGTACAATCCAAGAACTTCATAGGTAAGAGCTGGGGACTTCGACCGGAGATCATACACTGAGGATTGTCCTCCCCATCCTTACATATGGTTACCTTGTATGGTGACATGGGGTCAACAAAAACATACTGCTGACAAAATTAAATTCAATACAGCGATCGGCTTCGATCCTGATTACCGGAGCGCTAAGAAGTACACCACAGACAGCCTTGTCTGCAGTTTCGTTTTATCCTGGTTGCTTTTTAAATTTCACATAACCGATATAAATGTCCCTATCAATTTTAGGTAATTTTAATACCCACCTCATGGTGGAGGGAAATTTACGTTTAACTGTTAATATATAGGACTTTGGTAGGTAAACGTAATTTTCTTCTGACAGCTATTGTTGATACCATATAAATTTCCAATAAAACTAACCTCACATTCTTATTCTTAAAACAATTCCTGATTTGCAAGTTTATTGAATAAAATTAATAACAAATTTAACAATTGTACATTTTTTTCTATTTTTTTAATTTAAAATATTTTACTAAGAATTTAGATTATCATGGCATAACAATTGGCACCGTATCGTTTTCAATCACCTTCTTCAATTTCAATATCATATAGTTTCAAATCTCCCGACACCAACATGGTGTCCACACACTTAGGATGTACTTTGTAAGGATAATTCATCAAGGGTCTATCATTCAGGTAAATTTCAAAGGCATTCTTGCCACGCACAATGTGTAAGCGGAATTCAGCATTAGGTCTCAGACCCGTTGATAATTCCGATTTAATTTCACCCATCCACCTTCCACTGGCAAAAGAGTTTCGCAGCACCATGGGTTCTCCCGTCTCACCCTGACTATTCATATAGAAATGGAATTCTAAAACTAATGCCACATTCGGTTGTGGCCAAATGCTGTGACCCGATTGTAGGCTTATACGAAATGATTGAGGTTTACTGCGAACGCGACCCCAAATCATCATGCGGTAACCCAATTCGAAGAAACCACGTGGAAATGAGGCATAATAAGGCAATGATAATGGACGTAATTCTTCCGATTCAAGCTCCTCTTCTTCTTCCTCCTCCTCTTCTGTATATTTTCTATAGTGTTCATAATCTTCCGAATTATAGATACCCGTATCCGCATGACGATTACTTATACTAACAAAATGTTTAGATTTTCCCGTACGTTGTGGATAATCCGTGACAAGTTTACGATCAACGTGTAAGTCACGTACATCTCCCCGTATTTCTATTGATCGTATATCGTAAAACGATAGACGATGTTCATATTTGGCAATATGGAAACCATCTACGGCTATCAGCACAGCATCCATTGTAAAGAGAATTTGTAGTAGGAATTGTGATCCCTGTTTCAAGTTAAATGGCATAAGGGAGGTAATTTCTTCCGTGCCCCAATAACCATTCGTTCGGGTATTACGACCAATCATGTTGCGTGATATCACCGCTGACAAACGTAATGCAATATCGTTGCTGGCATTTTCCGTACAGAAGTCCACAATGAAGCTGGAGGGAAATTGAAAAAAAGTAAATGAAAATGGGAACCAGAACTATAATTGAAATACTCACCGTTCGCCATTTGGTAGAATTTGACCACGTATTAAAAACGAAAGACCCTCCTGAATCCATCCAATTTTATTGTTAGCATAGAGAGGATTTCCCGGAATGTCTTCGTTAATGGAGACCTGAAAAACAATAAAATAAAGGTGGATTAGCTGCAGATATTCGACACTCAAAAACTTGATGCTGAAAGGCAAGATAAGGAATAGTTCATCTTCATTTCTCTCCTCAATATTATTTACTTTTGAATCAAAAGATTTCATAATTTCCTCATAGTTGATCCAGAACCTGCCCCAATCTTTAAATTTTTTGAATTTTAAAATCTTTGAGAATTCCACGGAGAATTTAAGACATTTTAGTTCGTCAAGAAGTTAAAAAATTGTTTAAATGTTAATTTTGAAAACTAGTTTTTTATTAAAATTAATACTTTTTTATTTTATTGACATTTTTAAATTCTAAACCCAAAGACGGAAAATTCCAACTTTGATGTTGGAAAACGTTATATATTCTCTGTTCCAGAACCTAAAAATTGTTTCCAGTTTTTAATTAAGGAAAATAATAAAGTAGATCGGGCAAAAAGCTGTCCTTAACGTGGAAGAAATCCATCGCTACTATGTCACTCAAAAATTTCTACTTGAAAAATTGTAACAACTGGAAAAGCATAACCATCTGAGAGATGAACAAGCTGGTTTCAGACCGAGCTTCTTTACCATGGCCGTAATTAGATATTTGTTATCCGCCATATCGTTTCTATCATCATACGGTCGACTCTCTCTCACTTTTTTATTTCTACCAGTACTGATTCAAACCAAATGGAAGCTGTGTAGACCCAGACCTTCGAGTCATTATAGAACAATTCATAGAGTGGGGCATGTCCCTGTAACTATTGGTCATCTATTTCAAGAAGAAAGTTGACATATGGGAAGTATTGAGCAAAAAAGGGAGTACCCATAAACTAATTTCAATAATAAGTCACATGTACGATGATGCAGAACTCTTAGTTCTTCATAAGCTAGACGGTTCTCACCAACGTGGAAGTAACACAAGAAGGTAATCTCGTTTTTAAATCGGTTCGATCTCCGCAAAATGAACCAGTTCACTTTTGTAAAAGTATTACCCAAATACGTCGAATCCATATCTTCAAGCGAATAATACAAACCGCAAAACAAAGTTGAAAATTTATTAAATTAATTCAAATATTTTATGTTCACATTCGAAATTTCATATTTTCTGAATGTTTTGTTTTTATTTTCAACAAAAGAAAAATACATAAAATACGTTCTGTCAAAGTTGAAAATTTTCAACTTGGAATTTTGTACGCTCGACGTATTTCGGTAACATTCATATAAATACATGTGTTCTACTTTTGTGGTGAAAACGTCGAACGAGCTAGTCGAATTTTAGGTAAGGCTGTTAGACAACAAGGGAAAAAGGGTATAGGTCATGGTACAATTATAAAAGGTAACAGCAAATCCCAGCTGATTTGATTCCAACGTAATACTAGTGTCAATATGAATTTGACAAATTATGTTTTTAAAAATCACCCAACAGGAAAATTGGGAACGCATACAATTTGAAATTGTTATTTATTAAATGTGCTCCTGTATTCAATTTACTCAATCTGCCTGCTGGGAAAGTTTGAGGAAGCAAATCTTTCTTCAAGGAATAACTCGCTATTCCCAGCATTTTCATATGTGTTACACATATAAATGGCAATGGCTCAATTATAGGAAAGATGTGGAAGCGATAGAAATATAAATATGATAGATTTTCATTCATGTTTTTCAGTTTTTATTTCGAGTATTCGAAAATATTTCATTTTAAAAATAAAAATAATTTGATGATAATTTGTTTGTTTGTTTACATTTTTTCTGTCAAATGAGTTGACACTAGTAGAACTTACAACAACAAATTTCCATGTGGTTGTTGTATCGTTTTTTGAACAACAACACTTGCTGTTACCTTCTATTATTATACCATGGGTATAGGTATACTGATAGTTACTTGAAATGAATATATAGGTAACATACCAAAAAGTGTAGCTATACCGACATTTTTTCAAACCAACCTATACCAACAATTGTTGTTGTAAACCATAATGTATGTCCAATATAAATTTCAGAAATCACAATACCTTCCTTCACGCTAAATATTAACAAGTGAAAAAGCATTAAGTTCGGCCGAACTTTGGATACCCTCCCACTTTGGATACCCCCCCACTTTGGATACCCTCCAACTTTGGATACCCTCCACCATAAGTATATTAACCAAGCCTAGATCTTGTAGAAAGATGGGGCCCATTGTTCCACTCCCAGGTTTTATTTTGCGAGGTTGGTTGGAAGCTGCTGTTTCAATATGAAAATTGGAATTGCAGAAAAAATTTGTTTGAGTACGTCCTTAAAGGCTATACCTTAGACGGGACCTATGTTGATTGCATCGTGTAGGAATTACCGAACATTTGTACTTATTACTATATGTACTTATTATTATATGAGGTGCTACGTAGCTGTAGCTCTACTTCGAAACCAAATTTTTGCATTAGATTACATTTCGACAACAAAATCGACAACTATTTTAATATAAACAAGTGAAAAGGCGTTAAGTTCGGCCGGGCCGAACTTTGGATACCCTCCACCATAGATATACTGACAGGTACTTGAAATAAAAATATAGGGAACATACTAAAACGTGTATCTATACCGACATTTTTACAAACCGATTATGGTTCTAAATATAGTTTCTAGACCCCATGTTTTAGGACCAAATCCGTTTCAGAAAATTTAGATTTCATGCAAACTATGCCCATCTCAGTTTTTCTTCCAAAATTAGTTCAAGTTCGAACATCTGGAATATCGGTCCTCTCCTTCTGGTACCTCCCACACAGGGGCTAAATGCGGTTTACAGTTCATATATATGAATTAACTAGCTGACCCGGCAAACGTTGTTTTGCCTTATCAATATTGCATCAATATAAGGTTGGTAAAAACATTTTTCGTATCTTCCGCAGATGAAATGATTACAACAGAGTCTTAGAACCAAACCCAAACAGGGAACAAAACTTGTAAATATTTTAATATAAATAAAAAGGGGGTTATATGGGGACGACCCCAAAAAGGGGGGGGGGGCGAATATTAAAAATTTCAGCACCCTATTCAATTCCTTCAGAAGATAGCTTGATTACAACAGGCGGGGGGACGGACATGGCTAGATCGTCTTTTACGCTGATCAAGAATATTTATACTTTATAGGGTCGGAAATGAATATTTCGATGAGTTACAAACGGAATGACAAAATTAATATACCCTACATACTATGGTGGAGGGTATAAAAGGGGGTTATACGGGGACTACCCCCATAAAGGGGCGAATATTAATATTTTTAGTAGTTACCATATGCGACTACAAAATACCAAATTGCAGCGAATTCGGTTGAAAAACGCGCTCAAGAACCCCAAAATATCGAAAATTGGGGGTACCCTTATATGGGGGCTATTCGAAAAAATGGACCTATATTCATAATTTTTTTGTGGAGAGATTTGGTACCTATTAAGAACTCAAAATAAATTACAGTCAATTCGGTGGAAAAATACGACCAAACCCCCCAAAATACTGAAAATTAGGATGTTATATGGGGCTACCAGAAAAAGTGGATCTATACTTATAATTTTTTGTGGAGACATTTAGTACCCTATAAGAACCCAATGTACCAAATTTCAGCGAATTCGGCTGAAAAAAGCGCTCAAATGTTGGGTTAAAAATATTGGTAGGGAGATTTGTTACCATATACGACTACAAAATACCAAATTGCAGCGAATTCGGTTGAAAAACGCGCTCAAGAACCCCAAAATACCGAAAATTGGGTGTGCCCTCATATAGGGGTTTTCGGAAAAATGGTCCTATATTTATAATGTTTTGTGGAGAGGTTTAATACTTAAGAACTTAAAATACTAAATTACAGCCAATTCGGTGGAAAAATACGATCAAAACCCTCAAAATACTGAAAATTACCGTTATATAGGGGCTACCAGAAAAAGTGGACCTATATTTATAATTTTTTTGTGGAAACATTTAGTACCCAATAAGAACTCAATGCACCAAATTTCAGCATATTCGGTTGAAAAACGCGCTCAAGAACCCCAAAATACCGTACGGTTATATGGGAGCTATGCCTAAACGTGGACCGATATATCCCATCTTCGAACTTGACATGCCTGCAGACAAAAGACGAACCTATGAAAAATTTCATCGCCCTATCTTAATTCCTTCAGAAGAATGCGTGATTACAACAGACGGACGGACATGGCTAGATCGTCTTAGAATTTTACCCAGATCAAGAATATATATACTTTATATAGTCGGAAATGAATATTTCGAAGAGTTACAAACGGAATGACCAAATGAATATATCCTCCATACTATGGTGGAGGATATAAAAAATTGAATGTCAATCATCGAGCAAAATATTTATAAGACCTATATATAAATGGACGTGTTTGAGCAACCGTGGAATCCACCATTTGGTAGCGCACTGTGTCGCTATTGGATTTTTATCTCGACACAAAATCCAATACACGTTATTCCAGGTTCGGTTTGGTACGCCATTTACATAAAATCGGACGAAAATTTATATGGAAGCTATATCTAAATCTGAACTTATTTCAACAACACTTCATGGATGTCAACCTATGGTAACTTCAATACGGTGTGCAAAATATTGTCTCAATCGGAAAACATTGACTGTTAGGTGCACCATTTACATAAAATCGGGCGAAACTATATATGGGAGCTATATCTAAATATGAACCGATTCCAAACAAAACTTCGCGCATACATCAATCAAGACCTAACTCAGTACGCTGTGCAAAATTTTGTCGCAATCGCACAAATATTGGCAGTATGGTGCTCCATTTATATAAAATTGGACGAAAATATATATGGGAGCTATATATAAATCTGAACCGATTTCAACAAAACTTCACAGACGTCAACCTAGAGTTATTTCAATACGGATACCAACCTGAAGTAACTTCAATACGCTATACACAATTTTGTCTCAATCGGACAAACATTGACAGTATGGTGCACCATTTACATAAAGTCGAAGGAAACTATATGTGGGAGCTATATCGAAATCTGAACCGATTCCAACAATACGTCACAATAACATAAACTTGCACTTAATTCAGAATGCTGTTCAAAATTTTGTGCCAATCGGCCAAAAATGGCATATATCAATATAGACCTAATTCAGTACTCTGTGCAAAATTTTGTCTCAATCAGGCCAATATTGGGAGTTTGGTGCACAATTTTCAAAAAATCGGACAAAACTATATCCAAATCTAAATCTGAACCGATCTAAATCTGAACCGATCTAAATCTGAACCGATTTTCTCTAAGTTCAATAGGGTTCGTCCTTGGGTCAAATAAGTTCCATATGCCAAATTTCATCCAAATCGGATCATAAATGCGACCTGGACTTTGTTCACAAAAATACACGGACGAGCGGACATGCATAAATCGACTCAGAAAGAGATTCTATGTATATTCTCAAAAGGAACCATGGGTCTATCTCGATTCCTTTTGCCTGTTTCAAACATATGCACAAAGACATAATACCATGTACCACAGTATGGGGGAGGGTATACAAAATTCGATCGACTTTACTTTTTTTAAACGTTCACCTAATGGTCGATGGAATAAAAATTTCACCTGGATCGAATTTAACGACTTTCTTAGTCAATGAC